CAATATGTATATTATTATGTATATTGTATGTATATTGTTAACAATATGTATATTGTTGTTAAGTATTAACAACAATATGTATATATGTACATTGTTAACAACAATATGTATATTGTTGTTAAGTACTGTTGAGTCAGTTCTGACTCATAGGAATCCTGTAGAGGGTTTCCCAGGAGCAGCTGATGTGTTTGAACCACCAATCTGTGGTTCATAGTCCGGTGCTTTATCCTATAGTGCCACACCAGAACTATGTACATTGTGTGTGTGTGTGTGTGTGTGTGTGTGTGGTGGCTCTGTAGGATAAGCACCAGACTGTGAAGCACAAAGTTGGTGGTTCAAGCCCATCAGCCATCTGTGGGAGAAAGATGAGGCTTTCCAGCAAAGATTTACAGCCTGGGAAACCCTATACAGTGTCACTAAGAGTTGGAACCCACTTGATGGCACTTAACTACAACTATATATGGACTCCTGGTGTGGCATTGTAGGATCAGCACTGAACTGCAAACCAAAAGGTCAGCAATTCAAACCCACCAGCTATTCCTCAGAAACCCTGTACAGGGTCACTATGAATCAGAACCAACTCAACAGCACTTACCAACAACATACATAATCACACACACACACACACATACACACACACGTGTGTATATTACTTAAAGTTGAAAGCATGGTGACTCTGTAGGATAAGCACTGGACTGTGAACCACAAGATCAGCAGTTTGATCCTACTAGCTACTACATGGAAGACAGCTGAGGCATTCTGCTCCTGTAAGATTTATAGTCTCAGAAATCTTATACAGGGTCCCTATGAATCTGAACGGACTCAACAGCACTTAGCAACTATAAGGTCATTTCAGCTCAACTCATAGAGACCCTTTATAGGGTTTCTGAGAACAACTGGTGGGCTTGAACTGCTGACCTTGAGGCTAACAGTCCAGTGTTTATCCTACAGTGCCACATCAAGGCTCAACAACTTAAAGTTACAAACTTAGATAATATTATAACTAAATTGCAACTGAGGAGTCAGAGAAAGATAGGATTCAAGTGAGGTCTGTGATAGCAGTTGTCACTAATCACTACATTTGCTTGCTCCTCTTTGGAATCTGCTGCCCCCTACCTGTTGTTTCCCACAATAGCATCTTATGTGGCAGTGGTCAAACCTACACAGTATAGAAGAAAGAAAGGATTATGCCCAGGAAAAAAATAACTAGCATGTAAAATGAAGTCATCCTTAGAGAACTTTCTTCAAGTATTAATACTCATCATTTAAGTTTTTATTATATCAATATTAATGATGTTTCTATAAAGTCTGTCCTTTTGGCTACACTACACAGAAAGCTACTATGCTAAATTGACTAGAGAAATTTGAAGCTTATCAAGTTCAGTCCTTTAATTTTAGAAAAATGAAATCCACTGAAATCAAATGACTTATTTTGTACAATGTTGACATGCCTTCGACATTCACCTTCATTTTCAGCCTATCACAAATGCCTGAATAAATATGTAATTTGATGTTCTTAATTGCTAAGACAGCAGACACCACGGTACTTTTAAAATTCTTCTCCAACAACATGATTCAAATGATCTATTCTTCAACTGTCCGCCTTATTCATTGTCCAACTTTCATAAGGCTATTAAAAATACCGTGGCTTAGGTCAGGCACACCTTAGTCCTCAAACAAACATCTTTGCTCTTTAACATTTTAAAGCGGTATTGTGCAGCAGATTTACCTAATGTAAATATATAATTTGATTTCTCAACTATTGCTTCCATGAGTGTTGAAAGTGGATCCATGCAAAATTAAGTCTTTGACAGAGTCAACCTTTTCTCCATTTATCATGATGCTATTTATTGATCCACTTGTGAGGATTTTCATTTTCTTTATATCATGGTGCAATCTGTACTGAAGACTGTAGTCTTTGATCTTCATCAATAAGTATTTTAAATACTCTTCACTTTCAGCAAGCAAGGTTATATCATGAGCATATTGCAGATTGTTAATAAATCTTCCTCCAAACTTGATGTCATGCTTTTTCATATAATCCAGCTTCTCAGATTATTTGTTCAGTATACAAATTTAATAAGTATAATTAAAGGATAGAATCCTGGTGCACTCCTTTCC